TATATATATATATATATATATATATATATATATATATATATATATATATATATATATATATATATATATATATATATATATATATATATATGTTTTTTATTTTATAAAATTAGCTTATAATTGATAGTTGATAATTGGTAACTGATAGATGGTAACTGGTAGCTGATAATTGGTAGGTGATAAGTTAATTTGAGTGTTTGATAAATTAATCATTACATTAACTGATAATTACAAAATGACCTAAAAAAAGTTTTAATTAAGAAATTGATGATTTTATTATCTTATTATATTATATTATTAAATTAGTTTTTGTTTGATAAAAGTAACTGTATTAATAACAACATGCAAAACAATTTTAATATATATATAAAAATTGAAGATATCGTCAAAATATATAAATTTGTATATAAGTTTTATGACCTTTGCTATTTATTATGAATATATTACAACGAAATTCAATGAATAAAAGAACCAGCAAATCATACATGAAACAAGAGTTATTTCATAAAGTCATTTATAAGGACATAAAAGTAAGTAATCTTAATAACTACAATTCTTATCAAATTAACTCGTTCTTTCGTAAAAAATAGTTTTTTTTTCATTCTCTAATGAAAATTAATAAAATACGTGAAATAATAATATTGTAATTTTAAATTTAGTTATATTAAAAATAAGCTTATTGTCTAATATTTTACAATAAAATTCTGAATTTTCTCCACCTTTTTGTTGATTTCATTGATTATTTTCCAATATTTCTTTAATTTTAGAATTATCAACACTATTTTTAAATTAATTATATAATTTATATTTAATAAATGAAAATAATATTTATTATAATAAAGTAGAGAAAAATAAGAAAATTTGCTATAACATTTCTCAAAATCTCTATAAATTCAATCTTTTAAATAGCTATTTTAAATAGCTTTTGAGAAAAAAAATTAAAAACTAGTTACAAACGCTATAAAATATAAGGTAAAAGACAATTATCAAATATAACTTTTTAATTAAAATGAGATGAAAAACTAAAAACTAAAAACTTTTTTTTTCTTTACCAAACAGACTCTCAGTTGAATTAAAAGGATTTATATGAAATAAATTATTAGTTTTTAATAATCATCTCATGTTACTATCAAATAAGATATTTGGTCATGAAAAATGTATTTTCTCAATATATACAAACATAATTTTAGATTTTGAATAAAAATAAATCTAACAAAACTTTCCTAACTTAAATTTTTCTATTATTTTCATTTAATACTTTTATTTTTTTAAATCCTCATCTCTTTCCTTTCAAACTTCCAAACAATTTCATAGCTAATTACTAAAAATTGTTATAATGATATAATATGTTTATGGCTAGTTATATTTGAACATCTGGAATTGGGATTTAGATGTTTTTTTAAACAACCAAAAAGAAATATCATAAAAATTAAAAACAGTTCAAGAAGTGCAGACATATACTGCAATAAAAATGTAGGAAAAACATCAAAAACCAAACTAATAAACAACTAAATACAATAGTTTATAAACAACTCCACTGCCATCACAAGACTAAATCTGAGATGAACCAACCAGAAGATAATAGCAAAGCAAAATTGATTGGCAAACTATCCTAGAAACCCGAAGAATCATGGCACATCGCTCTGATTAAACAGCAACACCTAAACAATTCCAGAACAACCATGAACCTCTCGATAAATGAACAAAGAAAACTACGACCACCGAATATAGTGAATCTATAATCGTGCTCAACCACTGCCCAAGAGAGTAACTTAATTCTGTCACTTTGCTCCTGAACCGTTTCCATGTCATAATTTTAAATTCTTCAACTAAATACTCTATTGATCTATCCTTTTCTCTAAAAATTGATTTGTTCCGCCCTTTTCTAAATTACCCAGATGCTAGCGTACCAAATAACACTGAATTTTTCTGTTTTATTTATGCCTGATCGCAGACCACACCTGCAAGTTTAAATCACACTAAAAAAAATATGAGAAGCACTTTCTATTGTCCTGCAACCATATGAACATTTCAAATAAGAACCATTCAACACTTCTCTCTAGTGTAGGTTATCCTTATACGGTATTTTGTTTTGCAATAATCGCCACACCAGAACTGCTACCTTTAAAGGGGAAAGTTTGTTCCAAGCATCTGTGAGTTTCATCCTTTCAGCGTCACTCGAGTTCTCCATTATTAAGTTATAACCATCTTTGACGAAATATATTCATGAGTCCTAAATCCATTTGTCCCCCTCTCTATATTAATGACTATCCTCTGCATTTTTTTCTTCATTTCCTTCTCTATCGTGGATTCTTCTTGAGATAAAACCCTATTCCAGTTGATGTTCCATTGGCTTGTACCTATTGCCATATCTTTAACTCTTAATTTTTTTGTCTTGACAGATTGTATATAGATTCATGAATCAATCTTTAAGAGATAAGTCCTCACACCAAGGATCTAGACACACAAATGTGTCCTCCGCATTTTCTATAACTCTTTTAAACTTTCTAGACATCTAGTTCTGGCCAAATCCCCATGTCCCACTCCCACCCCAAAGAAATTTTTTAAATAAAGATTCAATTTTAGAAATGATATCTGACAGAGCTTTGAAGAAAGAAAGAAAGTAAGCTAGTATAACATACAAGACTGATTTAAGAAGGACAACACGATTGTTGATTGATAGATGTTTTTTATTACAATTGAGCAATCTCCGCCTGACCGCATTCCTTCTCTAATGGGGTTACTACCAATTAGAAGTCCCAATTATTTAAATGATGTGCTCCCAACATTGCAATTGAGTACCGAAGCTACCTCATCTAGCTATGTTAGTTGAATATTAACATCAACTAAAAGGGTTTCATAGAAGTTTACTTTCAGACCCGACACCGATTCAAATAATTGAAGAGTTGATTTAATTGTCCGCACATTTTTCTAGCTCCTTTTCCCAATAATCAATGTATCATCATCATATTGCAAGTGTGAAAGTGATATGTCTTCGCTGACCAAATTGGTAACCTTCGAACTTATTAAACGGACCTTCTTTTGCCATCATTAAATTTAGACCTTTTGCCGCTATTAAAAAGAGAAATGGCGAAAGAGGATTTCCTTTTCTAAGACCTCTACCAACCCTAAACTCCTGAGTAATACTCCCGTTTACCAAAACAGGCATCTGACTTGTGAGAAGACATTCAAAAATCCACATCTACTATCTTACACAAAATCTCATTTTATCCATGACGAAGTCAATGTATTACCAATCCATTAAATCATATGCCTTCTCGAAGTCCACTTTGAACATCAAAGCCTCTCTTTGTTTTCTCTTTGCATCGTCAACTAGCTTATTCGTAATAAGTATGTTGTCCACCATCTGTCTATTCTCCATAAATACAAATTGTAAAGATGAAATTATTTTTTGAATCACCCCTTTTAATCTATTTGCAAGCACTTTGGCCTACACCTTATACACACCCCTTATTAGAGAGATCAGTCGAAATTCGTCCAATCTTACCAAATTTTCTATCTTTTGAATAAGCGTAATAAATGCATTATCGATGCCACAAGGCAGCCTGCCACTGCAATGAAATTCTATAATAAATCACAAGAAGTTCTCTTTGATCAACTCCCAAAATTCCTTAAGGAATGTAAATCTAATTCCATTCTGCCCTGAGCTCTTCGAACTATCGCAATCTCAGACCGCTCTTTTAATCTCTTCTAAAAACTCAGCAATGGAACACATATTATCGAGCTCCCAAAATTTGCAAAAATTAAATGATTGAAACACGGGTCTGTGAATGTTCCTAGATTCAAACAAGCCACTAAAATGTCTATAAACCTCTTGTTTTATCTCTTCCACTCTTTCCAACTTTGCACCGTTAACCTCAATGCACGTTATTTCATTCCTTCTTTTTTTATTAATTAAGCATCTATGGAAAAAATTTGAACTTGCATCTCCCTCCTTTAACCATTGCATTCGAGATCTGTGTTACATGATGCTACAATTCAGTTTGGATGATTTATGTAATTGTGCAGTCGCTTCTCTTTTGATGCTCACTTCTTCACTCGACAATAATGTATTTTCTCCTTTTAACTCTAGTTTGTTAACCTCTTATCTCAATTTCTTTATGTTGCTGGATAAATTTGCACAGTGGACCTTACGTGATTCCTTTAAATGGGTTTTTAGTAATTTCAATTTCTCCTTAAACACATAAGCACCATAATCTTAGACTTCAAAACTCCTCCACTTTTCTTCCACAAATTCATGGTATTCCTCTGATTCATTCCAACAGTTTAGCGTTTTTTTAATAAATTTACTTTGCCTTTGCAAATAGAAAAGTATATATTATTATCATTCAACTTCCACGCAAAGCAACCAAACATGCCTTTTCTAACTTTTGCATCGCCATAGATATTCTTCCCTATTTAGTTTTGTCCTTGTGTTGATGGTTTGAACTTTTTTCTCAAGCTTCTACTTTTTGTCATCCACTTTTGTGACGGTATTATCACTCTTTGAAAATCATTAATCATGCTACATATAGTAGTAGTATGTGACCCACTTTTTGTCGGGTATTATTACTCTTTGAAAATCATTAATCATGCTATATATAGTAAGAAAAGAAAAAACACATGACTCACATATATATATATATATATATATATATATATATATATATATATATATATATATATATATATATATATATATATATATATATATATATATATATATATATATATATATATATATATATATATAAAACGTGAAAGAAAATTCTGATACGAATGCAACCAACCCTAAACGAATTGATCCCAAAAGCATCGAAACACACACAAACTCTCTAGCTAGTCAGGACCACTGCCATGCATGCTATGCTCCAGATACATTTTCCTATTCCATTATATATATAGTAATTTAATTACTTTGATTGGTTTATAGGATTAGAAAAGAAAAAAAAGAGTAATTATATGATATTTATATAGAGAGAGAGGGAGAGTGTGGCAGATCAAAAATGGTTCCACAAACTTTGTCCCATAGTGTAACATTGATCATGTGAGTAATCAGACTGTGGCGGATTCATTCTGGGAGGTGAAACCATCATTCCCTCCGCCATTGCTACCATCAAACTTGGCATGGAGAATATAGCTTCTTCATCAAGAAACTGATCACTTTGATACGAAGGATTAACTTCAAAACCAGCATCATTGCTGGATTCAGTGTTCATGAATTCAGCTGCAGCAATGGCTGCGTTGCGTATGTCATCAGAAGAATTGGACGCCGGCACTGGATACATGTGAGCCCTGTCTGGAAAGTTTAGCACTGCGTCCCGACCTTTCAGAGCCAAAGCCGCAACGTCATACGCAGCGGCTGCCATCTCAGGGGTGGGGAATGTGCCTAGCCATATGCGGTTTGTCTTACGGGGCTCACGGATTTCAGTCACCCATTTTCCTCCACGGCTTCGAATTCCATGGTATGTTGGGTGTCTTTTGGAAGAAGAAGACATGGTTGTTTGAAATGATGAAACTTGTAGAGAATGATGGGAATGATTGGATGAATTAAGAAGAAGAGAATGGTTTGAGTTGAGATAGTGAAGAGAGTAAGAGTAGATATATGCATGGGCTTGAGTAGTAGAATGCGCGCACTGAAGGTGAAACCGTGGCGAGTTCGCGGAGCAACTGAGTGGTGCTTTTTTGTTTGTACAGCAAAACGGTGGCGATTGGTAGGGTATAATTGCAAATGAAAACTGTTTCGGGTATAATATTATTTTCAACGACCAAAAGACAACTCATTCAAAGAAAACGAACAATTTCTCTGATGGATAGTATAATTGAATGATGTAGATGATAGCCACAGCTAGTAACTCTTTGCTATCACTTTCATCGTTAATAATTAGTTTAGTATACATTTTTAAAATTTAATTACATTTGAGGCAATTATGATCTTTATCAAATATATTTAAATGTATATATAAATTTAGTATATTATAAAATAAATTCATATATGTATTTAAATTTAAAATAAATTATTAATTATAAAATAAAAAATAATTATATAAATATAATTGTATTAAAATACAAAGAAAAAAAAAAAGACTCATGAGATGAAAAAAAAACTTAGTATTATCTTTCAAAATAAGAGCATAATTATCACATGTTGTGCTACCGTTTCTACACAATATTCAGTGCCACGCTGTCAGAATAGATGAATAATTGATCAAAAATTTCATTTCTACACTTGCAAGCGATCTCAAATGTGAGAATGTTTCTACACTATATTAAGTGGGCCAATTGATAATAAATTAATAAAAATGACAACAAATAAAACTAATAATAATAAATTGGGGTATATTGTGGGATCTATATTAGAATTTTCAATGAGTTGTAAGAATATTTGAAAAATATAGTTGAGTTATTTAGAAAATATAAAAGTGTAATATAATATAAAAAATTGAATGAGTCCCATTTAAAGAACTCAAATGGGTATGATGGATGTGAATGCTTGAAAATTAATTATTAATTAAAATAAAATATATATTGTATTTATAGTGACTCGTAAAATATAAAATTTATTTGATATAATATAAAATGTATTTATATACAAATGTAAATTTAAAAAGAGTATTTAATTGAAAATTTAAAAATAATTATAAATCTCAATTGTATTAAATATTCATATAAAAAGAAGAAAAAAAGACTCGTGAGATGAAGAATGACAAAAAAAAAGAAAATTTTTATGCTATAATGATCTGTGAGATAAAAAAAAATATTTGATGCGATATAAAATATATTTAGATACAAATACAAAATTTAAAATGATATACTTATTTGTAAAATGAACAGTAATCATATACATTAAATTGTATTAAATAATTATATAGAAAGAAGATGAAAAAAAAAGGAATACATGAGATAGAGAAAGAAAACAAAATTATTTAAAAACAATTGTGTCTTGAATTAAGATAATGATTGATTTAATTAAAAAAATGGATATTGTGTTAATAATTATCCGTGAGATAAATAAATGTTTAATTTTATTAAAATTAAAAAAAATAGATTATTTATATTTTTAGTGATAATAAATAAATAGAGAAAAAAATTAAAATGAAAGTGAAAAAGTGTGGAAAAAAAATTTATGAGATTTAAAATTTGAATGAAGAGAGAATGAGTATATGTAATATTTAATTGTGATTTAATTGATAGAAGTTGATAAATAAATGTCACTTGTAATAATATAATAAGAGACAATATGGAAAAAAAAGTAAATATTAATTAATTACTAAAATATTCTTTTATTAATATATATAATTTATTATGAAAGAATAATTTTGAGAGTTCATACGATTGGTATTGTCTTAGACATTTTAATAGAGTGAACTTAGACTTCCAAATAGAACTGCTTTAATATTTGAGTCCTTAGATAAGTCCCTAAAGGTAATGTTACAAATAGTTAGAAGAATATTTGCAAGTGTTATTAAATGGAACACACGGATTGAGAATATTTGTAAATTTATGTTTATTTAAAAAAATATTTAAAAAATTAAATGATTATGTTAAACAATTTCAATTAAAAAAAACTAATCTTCTACACATATTCAACATTGAAAAAATTATGAAATATGAGATTTATTATAACAAACTAAAGTAATTAACCATTAATTAAAATTTTACAAAAATATAGTTAAAAGAAAAAAAATTATACATAAATATCATTGGTTTATCTCATTTGATAAAAGATTGGTCTCATGCATTTTAATATGTGTACATAACTCCAAAAGAATATATTTACAATTTCCAACTTCAACTATTACATATGAAAGCTTTTTCATCACCATTTTTTTTTTTAAAAATACACTAAAACATTCAATACAAAACTACTTCAGCTTGACTTTGTAAAGCAAGCACTACTAAAAATAAGATATTAAATTAAATGATTTTACATCAGATTTTCAAAGATATGATGTAAAAAGTAATTGAAAAAGAATTTTATATCAAATTTTAACAAGGTGGCAGTTTCGTAATTATTTAGAAAATTCGTTATAAGAGATTTAACATCGGTCCTGGATACGAAACCAATGTGAAAAATTAACTAATAAAAAAATTACAAGGTAACAGTTTCGTAAATAATATGAGATTTTTTATAATTGATTTTACATCGGTTTTTGGAACTCAACCGATGTAAAATGTTGTCCAACAAAAAATATAATAAAATAAAATTATAAAAATAATTGGTCTTTTACATCGGTCCATGTTTCCCAACCGATGTAAAAATGTTAACGGATGGAAAAAATAAATTAAAAAATTAAAATAAGTTTTTACATCGGTCGGTACTTTAAAACCGATGTAAAAGGTTTTAAAAAACAAAAAAAAAAATGTTTTTACATCGGTTCTGTTGAATGGCCCGATGTAAAATGTATTGAACTGACATTTTACATCGTTTGGGGCATGGCCCAATGTAAAAAACACTTATATATAAAATTTTCAGAAACGCAGAATTCGTTATTTCATTTTTCAGAAACGTTGTTCTCACACACGCCACTGTTCCTCTCTCATCTTCGCGCCGCTGTTTTTCTCTTCTCTCCGTCGTTGTTCCTCTCTTCTCCTCGTGCCGTTGTTCCTCTCTTCTCTCCGCCATTTTTGCAGCGCGCCGTCGAATCTTCTCATCGCGCCATTTCGTCTTTGCATCGCGCCGCCGAATCACTTCATCTTCTTCCTCTCCTTCATTGCATGTGCTAGTTTCTCCACTACCGCAACTCTTTGGTTTCCTCTCCAGTTTTTTATTACGGTAATTGTATATTACTGCATCTCTGACACTGGTTTTTTTTCCTAATTCTGATGTTTTTGGTTTATGATATTTTTTATTTCTGACACTGGTTTATTCTTGGTTTTCTAGTTCTGATATTTTTGGTTTCTGACACTGGTTTATTCTTGAGTAATAAAAATTTGTTAGGAATAGAAATCATATTATTGAGTAATAGAATTTTTAAGTAATAGAAATTTGTTAGGAATAGTTTTTTTTAGGAATAGAATTTTTATTCTTGAGTAATAGAATTTTTAAGTAATAGAAATTTGTTAGGAATAGTTTTTTTTATGGATCGTGTAACATCCTAATTTTTCCATACACTAAATAATATATCTAGTTAGATTTGAGATTTTAACAATGCTAGTTATTAAAAATTAAATGTTGAAACTAACACTTATAATAATTAATTTATTAATTAATTACTTTTTATATTTATTACTTTTATTCTTCAATTTGAATATCATCGTTTCATTTTATAAACTAAACTTTGAAATTTAAATTGGTACTTAAAACCCTTAACTTTAAGTTAATTAATTATTCATATTATTATTATCATTATTGTTGTTCTTGTTTTGTTATTATTAATTGATTTTATTTTATTTGAATATTATCATTTTACTCTATAAACCAATTAATAAATAAAATAATCTTAAGACAATAAAAATATCAAATAACTATCCTTTTTACTATTTTTATTATTATTAATATTATTAACATTTTACTTTTTATAAAAGAAATATATATCTCATTTTCTATTAATATCCTACATAATATTATGTCATGAAATCAAGCTCCCATACCTTTGTCATAAATTATTTTCACAAAGTCATACTAGAACACCTAAAGCACTATTGATGAAAGATTAGTAAATATTTGATAGAGACATATTTACTAGCAAGAGTTGAAAAGTTGGAAGGTATGGGCAAAAGATGATAAATTATGTTATTTTAATATTTTACAACTAGTATAAATAGGGGTCTCTTCCACCCCATTTTCATTCATTCATTCACAAATCATCTTTCTTACTTCTTTACTTCTTTCCTTCTCTAATTTCTTCATATAGCAATATTAGTTTTAGTTATCGAAGTTCCCACGATATCGGTTCGTAACCTTTAGAGTATTTTGTGGTAAAAGTTCTTCTAAAGTTTCAAGGGAGTTTTATACGTCAAAGTTCTGCCCAAATCATTTTCATAAGTAATCGGTAAGCCGTTATAATGTCCATTTTATTTTAATTATATTATTTTAATTATGTTATTTATATAAAGGTTATTTTAAATTTTCTATGCAAATTCCGTTCAGACGTCGATATATTGAACTTATAAAGTCCAAAATAAATTTTACCATTTTAAGTCGTTATAATGCCCAAATTTTATTATAATTTAAATGTTATTAGAAATATACTCTTGACAATTTTCTAAAACAAACAAATTCAAAAGGAGGTATAATATAATTTATATTTGAATTTAATAATTATTTTGGAGGTTATTATGATATATTTAAATAAATAAATATTTCAAGTTATAACGGGATTATGTTCAATTAACCATAAATTATATTCTAATTATTTCATAAATTTCGTACAATCCAACGGTTATCGTAAATTAGGTTCTTGGCAAAGATCGAAGACAACACTTGTGGACTTTCAACAACACTCAACAAAAGGTGGGGGCAAGATTTCGTATACGATTGGGACGGTTAGCGTAA